GGAAAGAGTTGGATGGGACAAGCACGTGGGTTGCTGCCACATGGGGCTCGGGTTCAGCGAGGGCAGAGCCGCGACTGTGCTGGCCTCGCAGTGTGGCCCGGGCGAGTTGCCGGAGCTCTCTGGGCCTGGGTGGATTATACTGTGGAGTCGCTCCTTGCCTCAGGTTTTATCTGTCCCCACGCCCGCCCATGCTGCCCTCCGGTGCCTCACTCCTCTCCAAGGCGTGCCCAGGGCAGCTCTGTCCCCTCTCTGACTTATCTGCTGTTTATTCTCCGGGCTTGGGAAGACTGGGGAACAGGGAGGCCTCCGGCTGGGAGGGGGCTGGCAGAGCTGGCCAGGAGCCAGGGAAGGGAGGGCGCAAGAAGATGCCTGCAGCCCCCCAGGCCCCCTGCCCTACAGCCTCCCAGAACCCCTCTTCTGCCCTTTCCCCTCCTCAGCTGAGCTGAGTCCTCAGGATCTTGGAGTACAGATCTCAAAGTCCAACGACCCACCAACAGGGGCCCTGCCAGGGTGAGACAGCAAACCAACCCCAGGGCCAATGGCTAACCACTCATCTCTGCCCTTTAATCCACTTCAAATGCCTGAATTCTGCATGTGGGGTTGGGAGGAGAGGATGAGTGTCATTTTTTTTCAGAAATATCTGCCACTTATCCAGCTTTTACTATTAGGTCAGACCCTGTGCCAAGTGTGTAACTTACATTAACCCGTTTAGCTCAGACATCCCTAGAAGGAAGGTAATAACATTTTCCCCATTGAACAGATGAAGCCCAGGCACAGAGAGGTGCAGTGCTTGCCCACAAGGAGTGAAGCCAGGGTTTGAACGCTGGTCTTCCTACACTTCCGTTTCCTCTGTTGTTTGGCCCTGGGTTTATCTCCACATTTTAGCACTTCTCCCTGTTTATGCCACTGTCTGAAAAGTCAAACTCCAGGTCTGTCTGAATCCAAATTACAGTTTTGGGGGAAAAAAATTATAGAGTATGTTACATATAGTATAGTATATGTAATCTTATCTATATTGATACTATTGATAAAGCCATTAATAAGCAGCTATAAGTTGCTAAGCATTTACGGGTCTGGCATTGCACTAAGTAAGGACTCAGCCTATGTGTACTCATTCAATCCTAAGAAAGCCCTAGGCAGAGAGCACTTTAAACCTACACTTCACAAAGGGGAAACTGAGGCTCTGAAAAGTGAAGTCCTTTGCCCCAAAAGTCACAAAGCCATTAACTGGTGGAGCTGGGATTTGAAGTCAGGCAGTGAAGTTCCAAAGCCTTTATTCTTCTAGTTCCTTTCTTGTGACGTCCCCGCCAACCTCCATGGACGCAAAACTCTAGGAGGGGAAGCTGCCCCTTCCTAAAAGCCAGAGGCCACTTCTGGGGCATCAACCTCACCCCCAAGCAGGAGACCTGCAGCCCCATCCACAGGCATGATGGAGGGAGGGGAGTGGACTCTCCTGACTCTCCAGATGGGAAAGAACTCAGTGCAAGTGGGTGGGAGGCACAGAAGGGGGCAGCCGGGTGGAGGGAGCCAGCAGTTGCCCTCATCCCCTCCCTCCTGGCTGATGGGGGGCAGGGGCCTCCAGTCCCGCTCTGCCCAGGGGACATTCCGTCCTCCTGTCCCGTTCTGTTCCAGCCCTGTTTGTCTTCCTGCCCAGAGGGTGGGGGTGGGCGGGCCTCACTGAGCTGGGGGCCCAGACAGAGGGAACAGGGAGTAGGAACAGGAACGGGGCTGGGGGGTGGGGTTGGCCCCCCACCTCCTGGGCAGCTGGGCTCTATAATCCTCTCTGTGGCCAAATGTCTCCTCCCTCCATAGAAGAAGCTAGCTGGTGGCTACAGCGGGACCCTCCTTCTAGCTCCCAGCCTGCTCTCCGGATGTTCTGACAGGAAGTGTGGCCTCTCACTTGTTCCACAGATGCCTGGTCTCTGGCCTTTCCCTTTAAACAGAGTCGGGGCTAGTTCCTCTGGTGCAGGGTTCCAATCTCAACTCCATTACTTAATAGCTGTGTGACTTTGGACAAGTTGCATAGCCTCCCTGAGCCTAAGAACAGCACAAACTCATGGGGCTGTTGTGAAGATTAAGTGAGTTAATATATGTCAAGGGCTTAGAGCTGGGCCTGGCAATTGGTTGGTGGTATATAAAGGTTCAACTTCTATTATTTCCCCTTTGTCCACATCAGGGATGGAAGGCTTAGGAGCATTGTAGGCACTGGAGAAACCCTCGGGCTTCAGTGGTAACCCCATAGTGTGGTGTGTGTATGTGTGCAAGTACACACGTGATTTAAACAACACCTTGGGAAGAAAACTAAATCATAGTGATACTAATAATAATGATAGCTTTGGTGGATCAAACACTCATGAGCTTAGAGACCCCATTAAATCCTTTCAACAAACCCTAAGAACCTGGAAAAGTGATCTCCCTTTTACAGAGTCAGAAACCAAGGCTCTGAGCAATTGCATCACCCACCCACGTAACCAAGCTGGTAATCCCAGGGCCCTCCACCAATGCGCAACTATGCTCAACGCTTCTGTTAGTCTGACCACGTATCTGCGTCTACCCAGAACCCTGTCTGCCTTGAACACAGTTTATTGCTCACCTATCGGGTATCCTGCCCCGAAGATCTCTCCCCTCACTGCTTCTCATCTTGAGCGGGTGCAGGGGAGGGGAGGTATAACCCTCATCTTCCAGGCTACAAAACTCAGGCTCAGAGAGCAGTTGCTGGCACAAAGCCACACAAGCCAGGAAGCGGGTGAGCTGCAATTTGAACCCTGATTTGGGGGCCTGTGCTCTTAAATGCCATGCCTTGGTGGGCGTGCCACCCAACGGACCCCTGTCCTGCCCCTCCTCTGTCCACTGGCCCCAGTCCCTTCCCCTTGTCCCACCACTGCTGCCTCCAGATTTCCCCAGCTGGCCAGTCTCCCCAGCTGGCCCCATGCCCAGCCCTGGTCCGTCCCCTTGGCACTCTGCCCAGGTTGGGACGTGCAGCTGGAACCCTGCCACCCTTCCTCTGTGTTCCAGTAGAGAACGGGGGTGGAGCCAGGCTGGGAGGCCCCAGGGTAAGGTCTGGGAATGGGGACTAGGGCTTGGTCCGCCCCCCCACAACCAGGAGACGGAGAAGCCCACCTCTTCCCTGCCCTGAAGAACTTGCCGCCCGAGAGCAAAGGCATGGAGAAGCGGGGACACCCTTCCCCACGTTCAGGGCTGCTCCTGGGCCTCTCTCTCCTGATAGTCAGCTGGGTACTGGGGGTCTTGCAAACAGCGTAGAGGATTTGGGTGGGGGCTTAGGTTGAATACATGCAGGGACTCCTCTTGGCATTGCCCCAAGGGGGCCTGAGAGGGTTTGGGTTTGAGAAGGGACTTGGGGTGGGGGTCGGTGGGAGCCTCTGTACCCCTGACTCTGCTCATTCCTAAGGACATGATAATCCAGTGGGATAATCCTATGTTCTCTGGGAACCCTCTGACCGGAGGGGCACCCTGGGCCGAATGCCCATCAGGGACTTCCCAAGAATCACCCTTGCCTGGGGTGGGATGGCAAGGATGGAAGAAGGGAAGGGGGTAAGGGAGTATGGGGGGCCCACTCACCATCACCCTGACCCTCTTTGGCCCTAGCGCCATCCTAGGGGTGCAGGAGGGGATGGAGCGTGGCCGGGATCTGGGTGCGAGTTATGAGTGGGCGGTGCGTGGGCTCGGATGACACCACAGGAGAGGGCTGGCCTTGGATGGGGAGGGGGGGAGTGCCCCAGCTAAACCAAGAGGGGCCCCCACCTAGCCAGGAAGGGGTGCTGGGAGGGGCTAGACCAGGGTTGGCCTAGAAGGGGTGGGATAGAGTTCCCTGGCAGGCCTAGAGCCAGAGACTAGAATAGAATTGGGGGGTGTATAAGTGGGGGGAGTGAAAACATGGGGGTGGGGAAGGATCCAATCAGACCTGCGAAGCCAGGGAGGAGGGAAGGGGGTGAGGCTTCCTGGACGCCTCAGATTGGACAGGAGAAACCAAGGGCGTGGGATATTTTCCGGGGTCCCATGAAAACATGGCCAAATAGGACCCCCTGGCAGTGGACCCAGAGCACGACTTCCCTGTGCTGCCCCAGCAAATCTGCACCTGCTGGGAAGGGAACACAGAAACCCACCACCTGTCCGGGATGACCCCAGCTGGGCTCTGCGGCAGGGGGCGCTTCCCACAGCTTGTACTGAATCAGGCACAGCACCCTCTCTGGAGTCTTCCCCAAATAAGGCTTGGGTGCCCCTTCCCACTGTCACAGGGACTGGGTGGGAGTGGAGGAATCAGATAAGAGGCTAGACTTTGGGAAGTGGGTCAGGCTGTTTTCTTGTTCTTAAAGGGCGTGACCCTACCTTCCAAAAGGCCCCTGGGAAGGGTCCCAAGGTGGCTTCTGAAAGGTGACCATCTCTGCCTATTTCTAGGCAACTCAAGCTTTGGGAGACTGTCAGGGAGGGTCCAGTTAAAGAGGATCTCTCTTCTCTTGAACTCAGAAGCTGACTCCGCATTCCAAGGGACTCCCTATATCTGGGAAGGCTCAATTTGGGGGTACCCCGGATCCCCTAGGACCCTAGGGGTCTGGTGTCAAAGAACAGCCTCAATTCTGGGGGCTCGGAGGCCAGAAGGGTCAGTATGTGGAGGGAGAACGCCTCCCGCAGAAGCCTGGGAACTGCTCAAACGCAACCACCCCCGATTCCATGGGGACCCCGAGCTTCAACCCCAGTCAGGAGGAGAAGCGAACCCGGAACAGCAGTTAATCTGGGACCACGACCCAGATGTCGCTCCTGGCTAGAGGGGCGTGGCAGCCTGGACTTGGGGAAATGCCCCCACCCCTGCAGTCCCCTAGGGTGGAGGGTGCGGCGGGGATGTGTCTCCAACCGCGAGCCCGAGTGGCCCTAGGCTTGTACCCGCGCCTTCTCCACCCGGCTCAGGGGTCGCTGGAAGAGGAGCCCCCCCAGTTCTTATCATTCCTGACCCCAAAGCCCAGTACCTTGCGCGCTGTAGCCCCAGCGCCATGACTCGCCAGTCGCCGCTCCGGAGCCCTTCGAGGCCCCTAGCCCCCTCCCCTGCCCTGCGAGCCCCCTCCCCAGCTCCTCCCCCCGCCGAGCGGTTGGCTGCGCAGCGCCCGGCCTGCGGCTCTGGTTGGTTGACCGGTCTGTCACTTCCATGAAAGAGGCGGG